CTGTTCTTAACCTGAAGCACCACTTTAGCTAATAAACAACAACAACAACAAGAACAACAAGGAATCCTGCTGCTTCCGTGCCGCCAGAGCACGATTTCTGTTCTCATCCTGAAGCAAAGTTCTTAACCTGAAGCAATATTTCTCGGTTAGCGGAGTGTGTAACCTGAAACATATGTAACCCGAGGTACCACTGTACAGTGAGATTACACGAGCACCCCCCACTCAGCTCTTGTAGTCTTAATTCCCCTTGTTTACTGGCACACACCCACCAAACCCAAAAGTCAGTTGCCCTGTTGTTCTCTTTTCATTCAGCAGCCTAACAGCCCACGGATAAAAGCTGTTCTTTACCCTGTTGGTGCGACTAATCAGGCTTCTGTATCTTCTGCCTGAGGGCAGGAGATCAAGAAAGTGCCAGCCAGGGTGTGAATAATCATCCCTGAGAATTTTCCTCACTCTGAGGCAACGTTCTTCCACTATTTCATCCAGCGGATTCCCGGGACAGCCCATAATATCTTGTGCTGTAATAATAATATCTTGTCCACCACCCTCTGTAGGCACTTTCTATCAGTTGATGTCAAACCAGCGTCCCACACCGTGATGCAGTAGGAAAGGACACTTTCTATTGTGGACCGGTAGAAGGAGATCATCAAATGTTGATTGACATAGTTCTTCCGCAAGACTCTGAGGAGATGGAGTCTCTCTTGGGCTTTCTTAACCACTTGGGTTGTATTGATTTTCCAAGTAAGGTCTTCACTCCAAGGACTCCACACAGCCCTCCCCGATGTCCAGCGGGGCTAGTTCTCCTCTCTTCCTCCGAAAGTCCAACACCATCTCCTTTGTTTTGCTAAATGAGAAAGGGAGACGCCGGGACCCCAGGAAGAGCGTTGCTCTTGCGTCACAGGCAACTGCTTGGCCCCTGTGAGAACGGGAGAATGAACGGACTCGGTGGCCTCATCCAGCCACCTCTTCTTCCGTCCTTATAGAACCTCCAGGTGCAGGGGCAGTCTGTCTGGATTCCTAGGTCCATGGGGGCGGGGTAACTGACCGCTGCAAGGAGAGGATGCCAGACTGGACATTCAGTGATGTGACTGGGAGAGGGTGCATTTGGGGGGCTGGCAGTGGGGCTTGCTTTGGGGGGCGTAGAATGGCAGAGTTGGCAGGGGTCCCATTTAGGAATCCCAGCTAAGAACTGAAATGCACCCAGAGGGCCTGTGGGGGGTGGGGAGGGGGGAGGGGGCAGAAATGCTGCAAAGTGACAGCCAATGACACGAACGTGATCCTCGCGGATGACCAGCCAGGCAGCAATGTGAAGTAAAGGAGCTGCTCTCCCTCCAAACTTGGCCCTGGGGGTGGGGGCTGAGGGTGGGGTGGGGTAGGGGTCTTCTTCCAGGGCTGCTCGAACCTCTCCAAAGTCTGCCGCTTACAGGACCCTGGCTTTGCCCTGAGGGTTTCGCAGTGGGGTGCAGAGGCAAAGGCCTGCCCCACTGTTGGCTTGCCCCTTAGAGTAGAAGCCTCTAATTGATGCTGTTAATTTTGCCATCTCCGCGAATTCAAGAAATTCGGCTCTCCATTCTAATAATTCTGGTATTTTATCGGTTTTCCAGTTTTTTGCCACTACAATTCTGGCTGCTGCAGTTGCCTAAAGGACGGGCGCCCCACAACCCACACAGAGCCCCCACCTCTCCTGGCTGGTGCCACCCGTTCCCTTTGCTCAGGCAGCGAATGCCACCCCCCTCAGAAGCTCCTGGCGCCAGAGGCTGAGGTCTCCTCCACGGAGCTATCAGGAGGGGCCGCCTTTATCAGCCGCCTGCCAGGAGGCACCTCCTGCCTGATATCCCCCAAATCTCCCACAAACAGGTCTCCTCAGAGGCACCCAGGGCTGCTCCACTCACACACCCTCCTGCTGCACCCACAGCCCCAGGAGAAGTCCTCCTCCAGGTCCTCCAGGGGCCCGTCAGCCGGGTGCCAGGACTTGGGAAGCGTGGCCTCCACCCCACCTGGACCTGCCCCACAGGGCTGGCCCAAAACAGTCTGGAGAGCCACATGGGGGGGGCCTGGGGGCCCTCATGCGCTCCTCAAGCCGGACCTGCCCCGTCCTAAAGAGTCCAGACAAACAGACAACCTCTCTCTCAAAACAAAATTTAAAAATTCCTTCCAGTAGCACCTTGGAGACCATCACTGGAAGATGCTACTGGAAGGAATTTTTTTTATTTTGTTTTGACTACCTTACCTGTAACCTCTCTCTCTTTCTCAACGTAAGAAGTGCGGGCTGGGTCAGGCCAAAGGGGGCCCAATGAGTCCAGCCTCCTGTTCTCCCCAAGGGGACGCGCAAACGCAGGATCCGGGCCCCAGAGCAAGTCTCTCCTTCAATTCCAGCACCTGGCATTCAGAAGCATCGCTGCCTCTGACTGTGGAGGCAGAGAAGAGTTTGGATTTGATATCCCGCTTTATCACTACCCGAAGGAGTCTCAAAGCGGCTAACATTCCCCTTTCCCTTCCTCCCCCACAACAAACACTCTGTGTGGTGAGTGGGGCTGAGAGACTTCAAAGTGTGACTGGCCCAAGGTCACCCAGCAGCTACAGGTGGAGGAGCGGGGAAGCGAACCCGGTTCCCCAGATTACGAGACTACCGCTCTTAACCACTGCACCTCACTGGCCCTGGTGGCTTCTGGGAACATGGCCAGAGATGCCCCCCCAGGCCCTGGGGGCAGCAACAGGGCTCCCCCACCTTGCCCCCCCAAGTCCAGTTCAGTTGCTGCACAAGTCCGGGAAACTTCTGTCTCAACCAGCCTCCCTTTTCCAAGCATCTGCCGGCCACTTGCCCCCAGGGGACCTCAGAGATCTTGGGTGCCAAGGAGGAGGAAGGCTGGGGTCTGTGGGGAGAGGCAGCAGAGGGCTCTGCCCAGGGGGGCCTCCGTGGGGCCTGACCAGAGAGGACCAGCTGGATGCTCAGGGGCCCAGAAGTCTCCGGGTGGCCCAGGGGAGGGGAGACTCTCCTGAGCCCCCTGGCAGAAAAGGGGGAAGGAGGACACTCTAAAATGATCCAGGGGAGGGGGCAGCTGCCCTGTGGGGAAAGGCTGGCGTTTGGGGGCCTTTTTAGTTTAGAGAAAAGGGGAGAGTAAAAGGCGAAACGACAGAGGTTTATAAACCGACGCCTGGCCTGGAGAAAGTGGAAGAGAGAAGCTTTCCTCCCTCTCTCCTAACACTGGAACTTCTGACATGTCAGGAAGAGATTCAGGACTGATTACAAAGTCCTTCTTCATGCAGCACGGAGTTAATCTGTGGAACTCCCTGCCACAGGAGGCAGAGATGGCCACCAACTTGGGTGGCTCTGAAAGAAGATCGGACAAATTCGTGGAGGAAGAGGGGGCTGCCAATGGCTCCTGCCAGGAGGCCTGTGCTGTGGCTCCACAGTCGGTTGGAGGCAAAGATCCTTCTGAGGAGGGGGAGAAGGGCCTCTTGGGCTCAGGTTCTGGGGCTGGTTTCCCTTGGGAGAATTCTGGCCCATCCTGTGGCGAATGTGGGCATGCTCAGAAGGGCCTCATCCTGTCTGGCCAACCAGGCGCCTCTTCTGCAGCTCTCTCTCCACCCAGGTTCCCCAGGGAAGGAGACAGGTAGACTGCCTCTGCAGCTGGAGGCATTGCGTGGCCAGAGAGACAAATGTGGCAAGTTACTTTAAACTCTTGTTTATTATTATTATTATTATTATTATTATTATTATTAGTAGTAGTAGTAGTAGTTATTTATATCTCGCCCACCTGGCTGGGTTTCCCCAGCCACTCTGGGTGGCTCCCAACAGAATATTAAGAATAATAAAGCAATAAAACACCAAACATTCAAAACTTCCCTAAAGAGGCTGCCTTCAGATGTCTTCTAAAAGTCAGGCAGTTGTTTATTTCCTTGACATCTGGTGGGAGGGCGTTCCACAGGGCGGGACCCACTACCGAGAAGGCGCTTGCAGGACGGGTGGATCATAAATAAATGATCTCCCTGCACCAGCCTCTCCATGAAGCTCCAAGGGCTGCCCTTCACGGTCAACGAGAGACACACGGCAGAGAGCCAACTGTGAACATTCACAGACCTCCTTCTCCAGCTCTGGAGTCTAGTCTCTCGGTGCTTGAAAGCCATCCACTCCCAGCTCTGTCTCCTCCCATGGAGCTGGCATGGCTGACTTCAGGGGCTCTTGCCAGACCAAGGAAGGCACATGGCAGAGAGCTAGCTCTTTCTTGCCCAATATAACACTCGCTAGGATGCAGCTGTTCCCAGGTCTGCACTCTATGGGCAGCTGCAACAACAGGGGCGACTCTCCCTCCCTCCGTTAACGCTCCTCACAGCCAGAGACTGCGCCTGCACGGAAGCTCCCTCTGCCCTTCCCTCTTCAGTCCTCTCCTGGTTCTGGGAGACGGAGGTTCAGGAGAAGGTGGGGAAGCCCCTGGCCCTTCCCTGGCCTGCCTCATCTTCCTCTTCCTCCAGCTCTGAAGCGTCCCCTGCCTCCGACTCTTGCCTCCCGACTGGCCCAGTTCCCCACAAATCACTGCCCCCTTCTTTCAAGCCAGACTCCAGCCCCTCTTCCCCCGGCCTCCTGCCAATCGTAGACACCCCCTTTTTGGAGGCTCATTGAGGGAAGCTCTGGGTTTGGGTCATCCTGGACATTTCCCTTGTGGCTCCCATTGGGCCTTCATCTGTGCAATGGGTCTAAATGCCACATGAGATCTGTGGGGTGTGTTTTGCCCCTGCAAAATGGCTCTCGGACTGTGAGCTTCCAGGGAGTCTCCTGGGCTGTGTGCTCAGTCCTGGTCCTGCTGCTCGCGAGGAGATGATAAAGAGAGCAGCTGGGGCCTGATGTCTTCTAGAGAGAAGCAGCTATCTGGGGCCTCCTGCTCTGCCCAGGGCGCCACACCCCACGGCCAGCGTCTTCCCCCCTCCTGCTCCTCAGCCCCACCAAGCTGGGCCCCAGAGGAGGAGGAGGAGCTTTGGCCCAGGGTATAAAAGGCTCCAGCCCTGGAAGGAGCTCCAGCTCAGCCCAGAAGGTTTTCTCCAGCAGCCGAGAGAAGCTCACAGCCAGCCATCATGGTGCACTGGACCGCCGAAGAGAAGCAGCTCATCAACACTTTGTGGAGCAAAGTAGACGTGGCTGCCTTGGGTGGGGACACCCTTTCCTGGTAAGGCCAGGGATGGTTGCCTCTCTGGGCAGGCTGGGCAGGAACTCCTCTTTCCCCCTGGAGAATGACCATCCATGCCTCTCCCGGTGTGGTGTAGTGGTTAAGAGTGGTGGACTCGTAATCTGGGGAACCGGGTTCGCTTCACCGCTCCTCCACATGCAGCTGCTGGGTGACGTTGGGCCAGTCACACTTATCTGAAGTCTCTCAGCCCCACTCACCTCACAGAGTGTTTGTTGTGGGGGAGGAAGGGAAAGGAGAACGTTAGCCGCTGTGAGACTCCTTCGGGTAGTGATAAAGCGGGATGTCAAATCCAAACTCCTCCTCCTCTTCTTCTTCTTTCTCCTTCCTTCCTTCCTTCCTTCTCTCCAGCATGATGATCGTCTTCCCCTGGACCCAGAGATTATTCACTCACTTTGGGGAC